CCTCCGGGGTGAGGGTGGCCCCCAGGCTGGGCCCGGCTCTGCCTGAGGAGGGTCCCACTGCGCCCCTGGGCTCCTGCCTCCAGGAAGGCCTCCCCCCAGCCCAGGCAGCTGGGCACCTCCGTGCTCTCTGCTCCCACACAGCCAGTGAGTGGGCCATAAAATCCCAGCCCTCGCTCAGCCGGTGTCCATGCCCAGCCTCAGTTTCCTCATGTGAAAAATGTGCACCTGTGGGGCACCCCTTGACCTGCACGTCTGCGGGCCTGGGTGGTGCCCACAGGACCCCAAACTTTCTTCTCCTTGAGCTTCTGGGATCTCTGGAGGGATGCCTCTCCTGAGCACCCTTAACATCCCTTCTGGGGCCCCTCCCGGGCCCTCAGACACAGCATGTGCTGGTGTCATGTGGGACCTCAGGGGCCCCCAGAAGCACTCCTCCCTGGGGGCCGCCACCTTGGGGCAGCCCCCTCCATCAGTGGGTGGGACCCCCAGGCACAGTCCTTGCCCCCTCTCACAGCTTGCGGCTCCCCAGGCCTGCTCTCCTGCTGCCGTCTCCCTATTCCCATGGCCTCATAGAGGCCTGATCTTTGCCCCTGGAGCCTTGCCCCAGCCTCCCTGCCTCCAGTCCTCCCTGGAGCGGCCCCCTCCTGCTCCCAGTCCGGAGGCCCTCCAGGCCTGGCACTCTGGCCTCTCCGGGTCAGTCTCCTCCCTCACCCGCATTCCATCCACCTCAGCACGTCAGAGTCCCCGGCCATGCCTCTCTGTTCTCTGGCCCCCAAATTCTGTCCCTCCCCTCTGCTGGTCTTCTGACATCTCAGAGTCTCGGAGTCTGGCCATGACACTTCATCTCCTCACCAGAAATGATTATACACGGCAAAAGGAGTGTGTGTACATTATTTTAAAAATAATGTCTGAGCAGATAAATCCAGAAATAACAGAAGGATCCCTGTGACTCTCTGTCTACCCACAGAGATAACCAACATTAACACTTTGATGAAATCTTCCTAGAAATTTTTTTTTCTAGTATGTGCCAGAGGAATTTTGGTGGGATGAGTAACTATGAAATTATCACCATTTAAAATGCTATTTATTGACCAATTACATTTGGCTATGTGTTGTGTAGATGGGAACATCTGAGTCACGTAACATGCACAAGGGTGGATCAGAGAGATGGGGTGACTAGCCCATAGTCACACAGCATCACCCACCCTCACTCTCAGGGCAGGCAGAAGACAATCGTCCCCATCATGCCCCTCAGTGCATCTGCCCAAAGGCTCATCTCTAGGATGCTATGCTTCCAGCCCGCCCTACCACGACTGAGTTCAAATCCTGCCTCGGCTATTTGTTATTAGCCTTGCTATTCCCATCTATGAAAAGGGCCCTGCACAGAGAAGGGGACAAAACCTAGAGGGCTGGCCCTCTTTGTCTAGGGATACATGGACTACCCTGAAGTCCTGGAGGTGGGGGGCTGAGCTGAGACACCAGCCTGGCCCTCAGGCCTGGGCCTCCTTGCCTTTGTTCTCCTTCAATGACCTTTTGTTCCTGGTTCTGAGGAGATGACAACCCTGCCCTGTTCCTCCCATGGGAACCTCTGCTGAACCCAGTCACCAGGCCCCCACAGCACTGTCAGAACTGGAGGGGATGGGCCCCTGTGCCAGCCAGAAGCCTCAAGTTCCAGAGGAGAGGGAGAATCTAGGGGGAATGGAATGCCCAGATCCTTGAAAGAGACCTGCGGGAAATTTGGAGGGTAGCCCTGGGAGACAAGGAGATACAAGAAGACCCATTGAGAGTTTGGTGGGAGTTGTTGAAGGGAGAAGGGAGGCCTGGAGGCTGTGGCTGAGTAGGCAAGGGACCAGCCAAACAAAGGGGCCCAGAGACACAGGAATGCTCCTGCCTCAGGGCCTTTGCACTTGCTGACCCCAGTCTGGCATGCTCTCCCCACACACCTGGGAACTTTGGCACCTGCCTTCATCCACATTGGCCCAGTCTCACCTCCTCCAGCCTCTCCTGCAAATGCCTCCATCCCCTTTTCCTGTTTTACTTTTTTCCATAATGCTGATCACCACCTTAAATGTTTTACTTTACATCACATCCTAAATGTTTTACTTCTCCGTCTTGTTGATTGTCTTCTCATGAAGATGGGCTTGTTATCTGTCAGTCCCTGTGCATCCTAAGGGAAGGGCCAGGAAGAGCTCCTGAAATGCAGAAGATGCCCAATAACTGCTGTGGATGGAGTGAATGAGTCATCCCAGGGTGACGAGGTGCTAGTGACTGGGTGGCAGTGGTGCACAGAGGGGCTGGGTGAGTCTCTTCAGCAAATGGGGACAGGGAGGAAGAGATAAAAGGCCTGACTGTAGAGGGCAAGAGGCCCAGCCTCCTATAGGAGGGCAAGAGGAACTAGAAGACACCAGAGTGGCATCTTATCCAATGACAGGAAGGGAGGGACAGCAATGGGGACCACTGACCCCACAGAAGTGGATCTGGGGGTCCTGAGCATCCGAGGACTGGGGAGAGACTTGGAGTGGGGGTAGGAAGATGAAAGTGGGAAACACAGAGCCAGCTGGATAGCAGGAGGAGAAGTAAGGATTGTATATCCCTCCCTCCCTCCCTCCCTCCCTCCCTCCATCCCTCCCTCCATCCCTCCCTCTATCCCTCCATCCCTCCCTCCCTCCATCCCTCCCTCCGTCCGTCCCTCCCTCCCTTCGTCCCTCCCTCCATCCCTCCATCCCTCCCTCCATCCCTCCCTCCGTCCCTCCCTCCC